CGATTTGCTTGAGCCAGCCCTGCATCTGACCGCATAAGATGACATAATGCACTCCCATCAGAACAGTGATTGCTTTAAAGCTGCCTCTGATTCCTCCTGTCCTCCATTGCTCAGCTCCTGTCATAGCTTGTTTACAAACTACACCATTCTCTATAACAAATACATTCCTGATTTCTCCCTCCCCCCACAAGCCCTCAAAAGTTTGTGGAAGATAATACCACAGAGATCTCTGTGGATGGGTCCGATCGCTCCTCCAGAGGTGGAAGCATCAGGATTGATGGATAAACACTGTGTCAGAAATCTTATGCAGTGTAAATCTTCTCTGTGTGTTTTAAAAATACATGTGTGTCTTTCCTACAGAGACACTAAGCACTTTAACAATCACAATCATATTGCAAGAACAAGGATGCAAGAACTGCAGGGACTAGTAGTTTGTGCAGTAAATCTCCTGCGTGACTCTACAGTAGTAATTACTATGTGAAAGTAATAACTGAGCTGTGCTGAGTGCTAGGCCAACTCCCCCAGCTTTCCGCCGAGAGCATGTTTCTCACGGGGAGGCTCCTGTTCGTTACATTAGATATAGTGTTGTATTTCAGAAAAGGTCACATTTAACCAATGCTGCTTCTGCTTTATTATCTTGGTACAACAGTGTGACCGCCACTGGTGCACGATTCGGTTTCCTATCCAACCCTGTTTCAGCTGCCTGATTCTGTGCATCCTGCCAGTATGAGTATGTTGGCAGCAGGCTCTGTGTTCCTTTATTTATTGCAACATTAAAGATGCATACATTTATTTTTACTGTGTTCATAATTGGCATAAGAGCAGGAAATCGTATTTCAAAGAAGCACTTACAAAGAGGATAGAGGGGAAGGGTTCATGCTACAGCTGAACATCCCAAATTTTGAGGAAATTTGGACCTGGGTGGGTTCTTTGTGATGCAAGCTGTTTTTCCCTTTTATTCCAGGCTATTTTTATTATTAATATGTGTATTATGGTAGTGCCTAGAGGCTCTAATCAGGATCAGGGAGAATAGGAAAGGGTGGGGTTCAACATGGCTGTGAAAAAGGGAGGAATTGGGCTGCCTTCTGTTTGTTAACTAAATAATCTAGCTCCAATATCTGCCCTGGGATGGGCCCATGGATCTCCTGTAGGGAGATGCGAATTGAAAGCCAATTGTGGCTTTTTCAGGGCTGCTGTCTGCTTGCTAGTGTCCGCTCATGTCTCCCTAAGCCGACTGTAGCACAGAGCTCTCTTGGTAATGTCAAATCCTGCCTATATTGTTGTGCTGCCATGTGGGTAGTGCATATGGCAGGGAGGGAGCACTGACCAATGCCAGAGCCTGATCGTATGGAACCACAGGAATATTGGGGTGGGGAGGGGAGATAAAGGGAAAGTCTGTGCTACTGGGTCCCAGGTGCTACTAAAAGATGGTGGTGTTTTGTTCTATTTAGTGGAGTTAGGAAGGACAAAGGAGGGGAAAGAGAGACATGGTTGGAGCAAAGAGACTCAAGTCTGTTCAATGTAGCTATAGCCCAGGACTGAATGATGACTCCAGGATGTGCTAATACCTGATTATTAACAGAATCATAGAGTTACAAAGCAGGAATAACTATCAGGCAATGCTGCCCATCCCCTATCCTGGCCAGTTCACACTTATCCCTATAGTATATTCTGTAGTGCTTTGCCCACCTGTGTTTTGAACAACTCAAGCGATGCAGCTTCCATCACTTCCCTTGGGAGACTATTCCACAGCCTAATCGACTGTGACACTGAACCTTTCTTTCTTTCTTTCTTTCTTTCTTTCTTTCTTTCTTTCTTTCTTTCTTTCTTTCTTTCTTTCTTTCTTGTTATTCAATACCTGTTCCTATGAAAATGGGGTACAGTGGGATTTTTAATACAAGTTTAAACTATGTTGTTTTATGTACAGACTTTGTTGGGGGGAGGGGTTTGCTTGCAAACAATATAATTGCAAGCACTGATTTTTGTCCCTCTCTCTTGTCCCATCCCAGTTTTAAGCATACCCGTCATTTTTTGCTTTTGTAATAGTAATAGTAATAAAACTCAGATATGTCCTCATACCGGTGTTTAACAAAAAGATTTAAAATAGGGCTATCAAGCGATTTAAAAAGTTAATCGCGATTAATTGTGTGATTAAAAAAAATCACAATTAATTGCACTGTTAATAAGATACCATTTATTTAAATATTTTTGGATGTTTGCTACATTTTCAAATATATCGATTTCAATTACAACACAGAATACAAAGTGTAAAGTGCTCACTTTATATTTATTTTTGATTACAAGTATTTGCAGTGTAAAAAACCAAAAGAAATAGAATTTTTGAATTCATCTAATACAAGTACTTTAGTGCAATCTCTTTATCTTGAAAATTTAACTTACAAATGTAGAAGTATGTATAAAAAACCTGCATTCAAAAATAAAACAATGTAAAATTTTAGAGCCTACAAATCCACTCAGTCCTACTTCTTGTTCAGCTAATCACTCAGACAAACAAGTTTGTTTACATTTGCAGGAGATAATGCTGTCCGCTTCTTGTTTACAGTGTCACCTGAAAGTGAGAACAGGCATTCTCGTGGCACTGTTGTAGCCGGCATCGCAAGGTACTTATGTGCCAGATGCGCTAAAGATTCACATGTCCCTTTATGCTTCAACCACCATTCGAGAAGACATGCATCCATGCTGATGATGAGTTCTGCTCGATAACAATCCAAAGCAGTGTGGATTGACACACGTCCATTTTCATTTTCTGAGTCAGATGCTACCAGCAGAAGGTTGATTTTTTGTGGTGGTGGTGGTTTGGGTTCTGTAGTTTCCACATTGGAGTGTTGCTCTCTTAAGACTTCTGAAAGTATGCTCCACACCTCATGCCTCTCAGATTTTGGAAGGCACTTCAGATTCTTAAACCTTGGGTTGAGTGCTGTAGCTATCTTTTGAAATCTCACATTGATACCTTCTTTGTGTTTTGTCAGATCTGCAGTGAAAGTGTTCTTAAAATGAACAACATGTGCTATGTCATCATTCGAGATTGCTATAACATGAAATATATGGCAGAATGTGGGTAAAACAGAGCAGGGGGACATAATTCTTCCCCAAAGAGTTCAGTCACAAATTTAATTAACGCTTATTTTTTTAATGAGCGTCATCAGCTTCGAAGCATGTCCTCTGGAATGGTGGCTGAAGCATGGAGGGGCATACGAATGTTTAGCATATTTGGCACGTAAATATCTTGCAATGCTGGCTACAAAAGTGCCATGCAAATGTCTGTTCTCACTTTCTGGTAACATTGTAAATAAGAAGAGGGCAGCATTATCTCCCTTAAATATAAACAAACTTGTTCATCTTAGCGATTGGCTGAACAAGAAGTAGGACTAAGTGGATTTATAGGCTCTGAAATTTTACATTGTTTTGTTTTTGAGTGCAATCATGTAACAAAAAAACCCCTATATTTGTAAATTGCACTTTTACGACAAAGAGATTGCACTATGGTACTTGTCTGAGGTGAATTGAAAAATACTATTTCTTTTGTTTATCATTTTTACAATGCAAATGTTTGTAAGCAAAAATAATATACTCTTTGATTTCAGTTACAACACAGAATACAATATATATGAAATTGTAGAAAAACATCCACAATATTTAATAAATTTCAATTGGTATTCTATTATTTAACAGCGCAATTAAAACTGCGCTTAATCACGATTAACTTTTTAAATCCCGATTAATTTTTTGAGTTAATTGTGTGAGTTAACTGCGATTAATTGACAGCTCTAATTTAAAATAAAGCGCCCACTTTAAATTCTCCAGCAGGAGATTACCTTGCTGGTATTTACATATCTATGCAATAAATATTTTAACATGTTAATTATACACTAATAAGAAAAATACCTTTTGAACTTTCTGCCAAATTGCCACACGCAGAACTGGATCCATCAGGGAATTAAAAGCAATTAGTTTTGTAACAGAGTGTGGTCACATCGTTTCTTCTCTGCAAATTGTTCTGTGGTCACCAGTCAGCCTTTTTCTGTCAAGTGTTTATATAAAGACTGGCAGGGCTTGGAGACTTCAGCTGCCTAAAAAAAAATAATAGTGTAGGATATTTAAGGTATTCATTTTTCATCAGATGTATTTCTTGCTCTCTAAGGGACAAATTCAGCCTTCACACACAAATATAGCTCTCACTGATGTCAATAGGAATTTTGCCAGGGTAAGGCCAGAGGGCTCTATCATGCAGCTGTACGCCATGTGGAACTCCCACTCTGTTTACCTCATATGATGCTGTATAAACTCCTAGTAGCTCCCTCTCTGAGGTAGGGCACTATCATTATCCCCATTTTACAGATGAGGCATGGAAATGGGAAGGTCAACATTTACAAAAATGTCCATTAATTTTGTGTGCATCTATTTTGGGGGGCTCAGATTGGTTCTCTGAACGCAGCAGCTACTCCACATTTCTGAAAATCAGATGTCCTACACTGGGCCACTCAGAAATTGAGGTATCCCAAATTAGAGGCTGCTTTCATAAAGTTGGGCGTTACCAGCTTTTTCAAGCAGGTCAGTGTTGGAGCCAGAACTAGAATTCAGCTCTCCCAATTCCATAGCCAGTTCCTAGCTCACTAGACCACACTGTCGCTCCTGTGATGGGTATATTCAAAACTATAGAATCTGGGTGCCATTAAATAAATTGGGAATGCCTCATGCAGGCTCATATTTTGAGTAATGACTGGGTCCAAAGGGGGTTGCCCATGTAGATCTGAAGGCAGACATTATCCTAATTAAAGCGTCCCATTCTACACTCCCCATATGGTTAAACTCCCAGTGGGCATTGTACCTGAGTAAGGATAAGCAGGCCTGGGCCCAGATCGGTGCAGGATTTACCAGTTAATTGCCTTTGTCCTTAATGCAATGAACCTTGCAAACCTGAGGTTCTGGGTAGGTGAATCACATTTATAACTATCTCTCTTTTCTTTTCCTCCTTTCAGACTGAAAACTACTCTTTTGATTCCAACTATGTGAACAGCAGAGCCCATTTAATAAAGAGGTATGTGGGTTTGCTTGAAAATGCTTCGGTTTGCATAGCCAAATCCAGATTGTTTAGCACTCTTTTCTGCCCTATTATATGCCTCTTAATGTTATGTATGCAAAATGTTTCTGGAATAATCATATGATTTTTTAAAACAGTATTTACTTCCTATTAAACCCTATTGCTTGTGGTTTTTAATAAAGGGAAATCTTTTTTGTTATGTTTGCCTCCTCACTGGAAACTAGCAATGACTTAGGCAAAATGCTGTTACCCTGTCAACTTTAAAATTCATAGACTTTATTCCATTTAAAAGCACAGGAATAAAATGATAGATCTGGATGGTGAGAGCTCCCTGCCATGTAAGGAGGGAAAAGAAACTTATTTGGGGCCAGGTAATTGGGTTTTGATATTTGTTCACTGTTTTAGTTGGAATACTAAAGCAAAATATAATTTTGTTGGGATTTTTTCACATTAGTACTAAATCATCATCCCATTTTCACCCCAGCAGTTACCCCTTGGGTGAATTTGGCCTACTGGGTAAAATTCTGCTCTCAATAGTATCCTAAGTCTTCATCAATAGGAGAAGAAATGAGCTCAGTAGTTGGCTAACATTTCTGTTACACCACCTTAACCCCATTGACTTCAACTGGGTTGTATCTTAACTAACCAAGAGATGAATTTAGTTTGTGGGGGAAGTCTAAAAACTTTCAGTTTCCCCATTCCACTTTCCAGACGGTAGAAGACCCTGACGCAGCAAAATGGCTTCTAATCAGGAGGCCACAATTCAGTGCAGGAGATCCTTATCCCATGTAAGTCATAGAGCTCTGCTCTGGGAGGGTTTACTACACTCCAGTTTTCAGGGTGGGACTAGACAGGCCAGGAGAGGTGGAGGAACAGAACTACTCATCCAACAGCTCTCTCCCCCACTCAGGATTCCCTCCCATCCCTGACTCTGGGTCTAGGAGGCAACTCCTGGACCAAATTCTGCACAGTTTTATCTGCAAAGTTTTATTCATTAAGACAGTGGAGCAGCAAAGGTGTAACAGAGCAGAGCTGGGCCCTGAACTGTTTAAATCTTCTTCCAATAGTAGAAAAAATCCAATTACTTTACTGGCTAAAATCCCATGTATTTACATCTTAAAAATATAACAAGGGGAATTACAAGTGCATTGTCTGAACAGCTTCAGTTCAGCCAATGAAGGGCAGGTATATTTGTTCGCATTGTTCATGATGTTTAACAATGATTATGTGATTGCTGGAGAGAAATGGGCTGCCTGCAACGTATCACTCCTCACAATATAGTCAGGATTCATTCTTCTGAAAAACAAATCTATTAATCTTTTCTTTTTTACACCTAACATAAAAGCAAGCAGCATTCCTGACTCCCACAGCAAGGTTTACTCCGAGCCTGTATTGTTCTGGGATTCCTGCAGCTGCTGATACTCAGAAACCTGCCTTTCCTTTAGAAAAGTGGCAGTGGTGGAAACATGTTGTGTGTGTGACTGTTGCATTATGGCCTGTCTCACTGCAGGAAAGACAAATGCATTGTCATGCAGATTGCTTGCACATTCTGAATGGCAACTCTATGTTCAATATCTCCCCCACCCACCTTTACTTGTCTTGCACTTGAAGTCTAATGAATGTCATAAATGTGAGGCAGACATTTGAGAATTGAAATGTCATCTATTAAACACTGGAATAATTTTAATTTAGCAAAATCTTTGTTTATATGGAAATGTTGTAGTTGCTTTACCTTTGGTATGTGAATCTCCCAAAATCTGTGAGTTTAATTAATCCGTTTATACCCTTTTTTTATTTGTTTCTCTCTCTCACATACACACACACACACAAAAATTAATTCTGGATTTGAAAGACTTTCTTAATTTAAAATTCTCTGATGTTGCCTGGAATCAGTCAGTGGCTTCAACATGGACATCTTTATTTAAAAGGTAGTGTTTGAAGGTTTATCAATTTAAATGTATTTTCACAGCTCCCCCCCTTTGTGGTTCTGCAGAGCAGGAAATGGTAGGTGGTCCACTTGGTTTCCGTGGAGACACAAAGGGGCTTTGCAAAGTAATGAAAATGTCTATTTCTTCAGAGCTTTTGAAGCACAGATTGCTCCCAAGACTAAATGATTTTAGTCAAAGCCAACTAGCTGGAAAGTTTGGGCCAGATCCTTAGTTGGTGTAAAGTGGTCCAGTGAAATCAATGCTTATTTACACCTGCTGAGGATATGACCCGTTTGTCCTTTTTTGGTAAAAGTAATGTTGAAAGACATTGTGAAAGAGAGCTCCTGGGTAGTTAGCCCTGATGCTGACATTTGAATTGCCTGCCTAGATAGATTGTAAGCTATTTGGGGCAGGGACCTTCACTTACTCTGTTTGTACAGTGCCTAAGCGCAGTGGGGCCCTGATCTTGGTTCATTCCTGTACCTCAAAAAGAAGCAATTAAATTAAATGGAGAGGGGACAATCTCCGCCTCATCTTGGTCAAAGTGCTGTCAGCACTGAAGTAGGAGGAGCAGTGCTTAATTTGTGCCAGGGCTTGCTAGGGCTGAGCCCTGACACCTCTAGGCTTGGCAGTTCATAGCTCCGGCACCTCTGGGCTTGCCATATCAGTTATGAAAGTAAAAAAATTGCTTGAGCCCTGGCATCTCTTTCATTACAAATTAAGCACTGGGGAGGAGAGGGCTTAAATGAGCCCTCTGTTCCTTGTTATCCACCTGCTCGTTTAGATTTTGCTTCTTCTGTTCCTTCTCAGGCATTCTCCTTTACAGACCTTCTTTTCTAGAGTGCCTCTGTCTCTATGTGGATGGGCAGCCTGTATATTTCACCAACTTCTCCCCAGCAGTAACCAATTGATTTTACAATGCTGCAGTATCAGCTTGTCCTCTTTGCTGCCCTGGGGGTTCCTTGTGAGCCAGCTACATTTCAAAATGGACTATGTCTGATTTTAGCCTGATGTCTTAAAGCTTTACCTTGTACACCAGTTTGCATGGCTGCCAAGAGTTTCTAGGGTTGGTTGCTTCCCATTTTGCATCCATCCTCAAACCAGAGAAGAGAATTTCCCGGTCCTCAGCTCTTTGGGCTCTGAGCATCTACCGCAAAAACTTCACCCTTAGCTGTTGTTGGGAGCTCTCTATGTTACTGGCTTGCTCTTGCAACACTTTTTGTAATCAGTGCTGTGCTGCTGTCTCTCTCCATATCACATGGAAGGCAATGAAGCACCATTTATAAGGGGTGCTAGAGGAGTAGACCTGAAAGTGAAATAAAATGGAGCTTTTAAGCAGATGCTGTTTCCACCTTGCAATATAACAAGTCTATGGGCACTGTCAAGTGGGGGCAGCTTTAGTTTAGGTAGTTGAGAGCTCACCAGTTCTAGCAGTATCCATTATCGTAAGTACATGGCCATGACTAGTGATTCTAGATGCCCAACTTGAGATACCTTAAAGAGGCCTGATTTTCAAAAAGTGCTGAGCATGTGCCTTTGGAAAATCAGGTCCCTTTGAATTGTCAAAAACAGAGGCACCAAAAATCACAGTCACTCTTGAAAATCTAAGCCACAGGGGAACCTTCTCAAACCAGTAATATCTTTACCTGTAAAACTAAACTTTGTTACATCAGTCACTGTATAAGGTCAAACCAAATGCAGATGATGTTTTCCTCCCCCAAGCCTTGCTCTGTGTAGGATTTCCTGCAGGAGCTCCCTGTCTCTGCCTTTGATTCCCTCAGAGTCGCACCCACCTCTTTGTGTACCTTGGTAGCATTAATAACCTGCTCCTGCCACAACGACCAGAATTTACTCTGCAGTTTTATGCTAGGTTCTAACTCTTGCTAATCTGAGATGTCAAGAGCAAAGTCCAGAGTTCATATATGAGACTGTAGATTCTGCCATGCTTAGGCCCTGGTCCTGTGAGGATTGGCCCCCAAGCAAAAGTACCCAGTACTGGAGAAAGGTGTTGAGCAGGGCAGCCAGAAGCTTTCACTGTAGTGCCTCTTAAGATAAGCTCTGTGGGGCAGGGACTGTCTTTTTGTTCAGTGTTTGTGCAGTGGCTTGCACAATGGGGTCCTGCCTCTGACTGGGGCTCCTAGGTGCTTCTACAATACAAATAAATAATAACAGTGATGATAATAATTGAAACAAAACAAGCCAGTTTCCTCAAAAGAAGTCTGAGGCCTTTTAAAGTCACATGGACCTTGGAATTATACTCATCTGCTTCTTCTGGCTCTTGGTTACCTGGTCTCTGCCCAATAAAAGGCTCTCCCTGGCCTGTGTTCTGTAGCCACTCTCTTCCAGGTGTCAGTGAAGTTGGCTCCAGCCTCATAAAGCGCAGGTGGCAGAATGTGCTGAACATCTTCATTTCCTAATGGTGATGGTAGTCAGGGTGTGCTGCTCTGCAGGTATGTTCTCTACATACAGGCCAATGCGCCTTACCCAACACCTCGTGCAGTTCTTGCCATGGCCTCTTAAAGGTAATCTCAGAAGTTTGTACTGTGCATTGCTTTGTCTTTTGCTACTGGGCTTGTTACCACCGTAAGAACTGACATCCGATCAAACCAAGGGTCTGTCCTGTTCCAGTACCTTGTCTCTAACGGTGGGCAGAGACAGCTGCTTCAGAAGAAGGTGCAAGAAACTTCATAATGGACAATATATGGAATAGCCTTCTTCACAGGGAATTTTTTTTTCCGAATGCCAGGCTGCAATAGAGGTTGGTTTATGCCCTAAAGCTTATAAGGGGTTATCCTAGCTAATGTAATTTTGAATGTTCTTATTTATATAAATGTTTAATCCTTTTTAGAATCCTATGAAGCTCTTGACCTCAATAATATATTGTTGCATTGAGTTCCACAGTGTATAAAAAGAATAACTCTGCAGACCAATGTAAGCTGGATTTTCTGTTTTGCAGGCTGCATGGATGTGGTGAGACAGTGCTACTCCTGTAGGGCTCCTTTTTCAGCAATACATTACTCCTTGTCCTGACTGCCATTTTCTTTGTACCTTCTGTACTCAGCAGCACAGCCAGGAAGTTCTACCAGGCTGTACCTGGCACATTCAGCAATAGTTTGTCCATATTCACAGGAGACCTTCATTTCTTTTCTGTTAGAATGGTTCAGAGCTGTATGTGACGTGCCAAGTTGAATAGGTTGAACTGCTGTTGTACTTTGTCTCTTCCTATTCTTCTCAGGTATAAGGTGATCCTCTGTTCCTGATCTTGCCTCCAGTCTGCTTCAGCTGTGCGCCACTTCAACTTTTCATCTCTTTGGCTTATTCCACAATGAGCAGCAGCACTTTGCTTGTGTGATAAATGAGCAAGATCTTTCTGTAATTCTCACAAACCTGTAGGCAGTTCCTGTTTCAGGCTTGCAGCTAGTTCTAGTTGCCTACTGGAACGTGCATAAAGATCAGTGAATAGAATTGTTAGTGTGTCATACTGGGAACACTCTTTTGTGGTTCTGTATTGTGACTACCTATGAAAGAGATTTTTTTTCCCCCCTAGATAATACAGCCGGTATAAGTCTTGCTTCAGGGTTATGACATCATCCTGGCTAAGAGAGACTTTATCTGATCAGACTTGACATGACAGTAAATCATTGTTCTTTCTTAAACCCAGCAGTTCAACTTTCAAGGACTTAGAGGGGAATAGTCTCAAGGATAGTGGGCATGAGGAGAGTGACCAGACTGACAGTGAACATGATGTCCAACGGGGCCTGTACTGTGACACTGCCGTCAACGATGTGCTGAACACCAGTGTTACTTCCATGGGGTCTCAGATGCCTGAACAAGGTAGGTTGTGTCAGTGCAAAATATTGTATGTTAAGAGAGCGATCTGTGGAGCTTTCTGACTGTAGTAATGTTAGATAGCTGGACGCTGATGGCTAGAATATATTTTTGCATGGGTGTGTGATAAGGATGCTTAGCACTTACTGCATATAGTGCTTTTCATCTTCCAAGTGCTGTATTGATATAAATTAATCTTCACTACCCCCCCCATCAAGTAAGTAAACAATGGGGATTATCCTGCATTTCACAGATGGAGAAACTGAGACCGCCCCTGAGTTTTTATGTGAAAGCTATTCAAGTGGCAGAGTTAGAATTAGAGCAGGAGTTACTTGTTTCTGGTCAGATGCTTGCTGCACTAGACCTCACTTTCTTAATCAAAGATCACATGCCCTATTTTTGACACGGTGTAGCAGGATTTCAGGAGATTGTGAGCAGACATCATCCACACAACATTTTGAAAAGGTCAGCTGAGCATATATACACGTTATTCACACATTCCACAGGAGATTAGCTCAGTCAGGTGGGCGAGGTATTTGTGTCTTTCCCACCCCATTAAACTGCAGTTTCACCTATTACACATACCCATATGCAGAGTTGGAAAATCAAGCTATGATCTAAACCCAAATGAGTGTTAGCTGGAGGAAAATAGTCAGAAGAGTTCAGCTGAGCCCATTCCTTCATATGTACTTGGGCATGAATGTCGCTTTTAATGTCTTACTGATGCAGACATCCTCTGCAAACATCCTGTCATTTTCAATTAAGATGTATGAATGCAGTTTGGTGCTCAAGCTCAGGGATGCCTTAGGGATGTTTGGATATCTCTTGAGAGAGGCTGTAGCTGAGGCTCAACTGGGAGCCCCACTGCTAAAAGACTTAAGGTTGTGAAAACAAAGTGCTGTGATTTGAACTGGGCTTCAGCTGTTGAATTCCGTTCATGGTAAACATCATTAAAAGCCTTTGTTTTGATTTAATAAAATTAGAGTTCTCACCATCCGTGTCATTAAAATATTTCCTCTAAAAGATGATCACTACATTAATTCCTGAGGGATGCTGTTAAATGGCCACAGTTAACCCTGGAAAACTGTGCAAGTTGGAGTACATAGAGGTCACCTACCAATTCTATACTGTCAGCCACATTAACTGGAGAGCGGTGACATCTACAATGATAATGTATTTTCCAGACAACCATACTGTTGCTAAAGATGGAAAAAATTAAACATTTATATAACTATACAGTGGCACTTTAATTCTCCAAGGACTAGCACTGTGTCAGAGAATGCCGGCTGATAGGTATCATTTATTCTTCTTCTATTACAAAGAAATGTTTTTTCATTTCAATCAGGAAAAGGTTTCCTAAGATGCTCCTTGCAGTAAGAGATGGCTCTGGGAGCGAAAATGCTCATAATTGATTCCTGTCCTGTTGGAATGGTCTGAACAACATCTGTTAATTTTTTTTGTCACATTTTTTAGCAAAAAACAATCTTGGTGGAGTGCCAGATAGGATTTGACAGAGATTACATTTCTGACAAGGTTGTGCACTGCCTGCAGTGTGCATGAGGTAACAATGAGAATGAATTGAGAAGAATGGGCTGGAGTCAGACCTGGTCAGTAAAGTGACACTGGTGATAAATTTGGTTCAATATATTGGAACCAAATCTCCATCCGGTATGAACTGTTGGTGAAGAAAATTAGGTGGGAGAGATACAAAAGCACATATTGGAGTCAGGTGCCCAACTCCCATTGACCTTTAATGGGAATTGGGTGCTTATCACAGACTGTGCCTTTGCAGATCTCCCTCTTGGCTATTTCTTTGAGGGAAACTCAGTTTATTGTAACTTCTGGCTCTTGTTCATTAATATTTGTCACATATGGGAGTATCCTCATATTTATGCCATGCCAGGATTGTTCGCCATGCCCTGATTTGCAGAGCATTTAAACACATCTTAACTTTAAGCACATTAATAGTCCCATTGATTTCAGTGAGGCTACTCACATAGTTGGAGCTAAGCAGGGCCTAAGGGCTTGTCTACACTTAAAATGCACAGCTGCACTGCTTCAGTCTAGACACTACCTACGCTCATGGAGGGATTCTCCCTTTGGTGTAGATAATCCACCTCCCCAACAGGTGGTAGAATTCTTCCATTGAGCTTGTGCTGTTTACACAGGGACCTAGGCCAGCTTAACTATGCTATTCAGGGGTGTGGATTTTTCACATCCCTGAAAGATACAGTTATTCCAACCTAATTTTCTTGTGTGGACCAGGCCTAAGTGCTTTACTGGGTTGAGGTCTGCCCTCCCAAAACTTGTGGCTTGGTATTGCCATCTAGCTGGGTTTGAGTAAACACTCTCATGTGAGCAGGGGTTTTTAAATGGGAGGGAGGAAGCCCTCCTCTGTGAATCCTGTGATGGGGAGCAGAAGACCTAGCTACGTGCTCTGAGCCATATGCATTTACATGGTTACAAAATTTTGATCTGGATACTACATGGCTGAAGTATCCCTACACAGCCTGCTCCTTCTAAAACTGCTTATTCTGGTGTCTGGGATGCTGCTTCTCTACATCCTTTTCTGCTGATGGCATTTCACATATACTTAGAGAACTAACACACTGAGGGAGGGCCGTATTTAGATCTGGTGTAAGATAGGTACAGTTCCATTGGAGTCACCACTTACATCAGGTCTGACTTTGGTCCTGAATCCTTACTAACACTGGTGTAGTGGCTATTTTTAGAAGTGGGAGTACTCTAGACCAAGCATAGGACATTATTAGTAGTATTTATGTTGATATTATGCTAGCATTCCTGGGCTTGTTGTGGGGCCATGGGCTGCTTCCACCGTCAGCTGCGTGTTTCAGAACATGGTTGGGCAAGTATTGTGGCTGTTCTAACTTTCTCCTGACGCCTGTCTCCTCTGGCATTCACAGCTTCCAAAAACTAGGCACCTGTGTGCGTGTGTTGCTGCTTCCAATTATAAAAAGGTGGGTACATGCTGTATAGTAACACATACCTGAGGCCCCATCTACTCTGCAGCTAAATGGACCTAAGTTCTGTTGCAAGGCCCCTGGATTCTGTGACATTCTGATGCAGCATGCTGGAAATTTTGCGGTGCTCTGTTTGGGGCTCTGAATCAACTATGAAAACGAATAACAGAACCAGTCAGTGCTCCTTGTGTTGCTGATTTTGAAATTCTCTTCCATTTATTCTGTGTTCTCTCCTTGGTATCAGTTTTCAGTGTGCCACAGAGTGACAACACGACTGCTTCAGGGGAGATCATAAGGGGAAAATTGGAGGCTTTGGCAGTTGGGCAGGGAACAATTGGGCTTTTGGCTCCTGCTGAGACACGTGGTCCATCTGGGAAGGTACCACTCAACATGAGTGTGGGTGGCAGAATCTGGCTCTCTGTTATGTGCCTACAGACACAATTTTGGTGCAGTTTTCAGAGTTCTCTATGTTTCCAATAATAATACAGAAAGATCAAAAATCTGAATCGGATACACTGTTTTAGAATACTGTGACTGCCTTCACTACAATGGAGTAACTTGTGATTTCCGTGTGGTTAAATGAAATCAGAACCAGGCCCCAAGTATCTGGAATATAAACCTAGTCATCAGTTTAGTGGGAACTCTCCTGAACCAGTAAACAATTTAGAATTGGTGATCTAGGCAAGAAGCTGAATTTTACATAAGTATTCTAAGTAGTCTGCCTTACTATTTCCATTTCTGGCAGCTGCACAAACAATACCTCTTCATCAGGCAGGGAAGTGGCCTAGCTAAACATGGATGGAGAAACCATCTAGGTAATCAAGGAATCCCTTTTCCTGGTCAAAAGGGCTTTGGAACATGTCCTGCCCTAGGGCAGACTGGGGTGGACATAAAGGCAGACTGACCGATCAGAAGTCTGTTTTCCCAGAGGAATGAATGGAATCTTGCCTGGAAAGTCATCAGCATGGTTGTAGAATAGCAGCAACAAGAGTTCAGGCACAAAATTATTAATTTTTGTAGCAGATACTAAAAAAGAAGGTAAGGGTGAGGAAAGTTGTCAGAAGCTCACTCATTCATCAGGAAGGCATGGGCTGGTTGGCCGTTCTGGGTCGGGAAGGACTTTGCATCCCCATGCTGGTAGGTAGCTGACCTCCATGCTGGCTGTGAATATGTTAGCATGATTAGGTGTATTGGGTAAGGACACAGGATCCACACTAAAGGGTCCATTGGCTGGGAACCTGCTGCTGAGGGACAAAGACCTTCTACTCCAGCTCACAAGTAGGAGTAGTGACTGCGGAGGGCTAAGGATCCAGTTGCCTGCCTGTAACTTGGGGGAAAATTTCATCACTCTCTTCCAGTCCCTGTGCAAAATAGCTTCATAAAGCCCAGTTGCTCTAGCTTTAGATAGAATTCAGGAGTGCCATCACATAGGCCAAATACAATTCTGGGAGGCATGGGGTGTGCAAAGTGCAGCCCTCTGTGTCTATGGGGGAAGCTGCACTCAGGAGGGATTAATCCCTGGATGACATGCATGCAGTGCAATGACACCACTGTGTCCCCCTCCCTCCTTGGGAGTTTTGTGTGTGTGGAGAAAGGTGGGGTGGGAGGTCACCTTTTAGTTCTGGCGGGGCTCTGTAGGAAGGTTGCTGCTGAGAGGTGCTGAATCAGAACATTTGCTAGTTATCCTGGCCCTGCCCTGCTTTGTACTCTTAATCCTCAGCTGATGCAAGGGAGTCAGGTCCATGATATTATTAAACCCCTCTGGTTTGTTTGTTTGTTAAAATGAAATGTGTTACCTGAACTACCTGACAGTGTCCCTTTATTTGTGTGGCTTTGGGCCCTGAAGAGTTGAGAGGTGCTGAGCATGCACGACTCTGCTAGAAGGCAGTGCCTTTCCCCCTTTCCTTTCTTTGGAAATCATGTAGGTGTCCCACAGAGAAGCATCACCTCTAAAATGGCAGATCCTAGTGTCAAGGGTAGCAGCATGTGGTCAGAAATATTATCCTGAGCTCTGCTGCTTGGCAT